GATTAATTTTCACATTGCATGATTTGCAATCCTGAGAAAAGTGAAGGTTGGGTATTGTGATGAACATTTAGTAGTAAAAGAGAAAATGGGTACCATTTTCAGGGTAAAGATAGGAGCATGGTCCTGGGCACAGCCTTAGAATTTGAACAATGTAAATAGACAGGATAGAAACATGAACAGGGAGAGACAATTCAGCATACAACTTTGCGAAAACATTTTCTATTTTTCTATTTTTTTCTATTTCAATTGAACATGAGTCAACAGTGTGCCCAGGCTGACAGGAAGGCCAACCGTATCCTGGGGTGCATCAAGCATGGCATTGCTATCTGGTCTAGGGAAGAGATTGTCCCACTCGACACTGCGCTGGTGAGGCCTCACCTCAAGTACTGCGTGCAGTTTTGGGCACCACAGTACAAAAAGGACACAAAACTATTGGAGAGTGTCCAAAGGAGGGCAACAAAGACGGTGAAGGGTCTAGAGGGGAAGATGTATGAGGAGAGGCTGAAGTCCCTTGGTTTGGTCAGCCTAGAGAAGAAGAGCCTGAGAGGAGACCTCATCGCGGCCTACAGCTTCCTCATGGAGCGGGGGGAGCGAAGGGGCAGGTGCTGACCTCCTCCCTCTGGTGACCAGGGATAGAACCTGAGGGAACAGCATGAAGCTGTGACGGGGGAGGTTTAGGTTGGGTATCAGGAAAAAGCTCTTCACCGAGAGGGTGGTTGGGCACTGGAACAGGCTCCCCAGGGAAGTGGTCACAGCACAGAGCTTGACTGAGTTCAAGAAGCGTCTGGATAATACTCTCAGTCATATGGTCTGATTCGGCTGGTCCTGTGTGGAGCCAGGACTTGGACTCAATGATCCCTTCCAACTCAGGATATTCTATGATTCTATGAGATAGCATTACTTAAAATATCATTGGCAGTCAACAAGAGAGAATATAGATACAGTTAGATTTCCACAGACACTGATCTCCTGCAAATACTCTGTTCTCTACATACTCATATGTCACATCTGCATAAGGCATCTCTGTATCCCCAGTGGGAAGCAGGAATATGTCCTTACCTCACAGTGACCATATTATCATCATGAATAACGTATGCCCTATAGGTTAGGGTAATTTTTTATGCATATTGGAGAATGAATTTAGCTTGACTGTTCATTAAGTTAAACAGTGTTGTTAGGTAAAATGGCAAGCCTTGTTTCAGTCCTTCCCTGAGAGGTAGAAAACACTGGTGCTTTAAGTGGAAGACTCACTGTATGCGTGAGTAGTTTATTAAACCTTTGCTGTAGGCTCTGTAGCTTCTATAGCCTACTTGGTATAGAAGATGAAATTGGTCAGATTTTTTTGACAAATAAACTTAAGTTTTTAATTGGAGTTAAACTAATTAGTTGTTGGCTATTCAGTACTGCTACAGGTCTTTTTCTTTAGGCACTTCGTGGTTACTCTGATTCTGCTTGTAAACAGCAATGCAATAGCAGGCAGATTCCAGCAGGGATAATTGACTCTTGTGTGAAGATTCTTAATAGAACACTTGCAAATAGTTAAAATTCATTTTCTATATTTAGAAAAGTTAAAGGACAGAGCCACAGCAGGTACAAATTGGCATATCTTGTTTAAAGTCACTGGAATTATAGAGATTTTGACCAGCTAAATATATGACCTCACCCCTGAATGTTGAAAGACTGAGCAGTCATGGTTGGTTTTTGCATCAGAGAAGCATATCATCTCCCTTCTACTACTTGTAACAAGTTGTGAAAATCATGTTCCTTCCTGTAGATCAGGAAATATTTACCTTATTTCAAAGGGATATCCTTTGTGAGTTATTGCTCATAAATGAAAGATGTGCCCAATCTATCCCTCAGTTTTGCCTGAATAATTATTGCTGCTGTCTGTGATTTTAAATAATGTATAGTATATCTTTACCAACATATCGTAGTGTCTTTCCAAGAAATGCTACATATGATTTTTCTGGAAGTTACATTACAGTGTCTCTGATACAGAGATGTCATGGAACAGCAGAGATCATCAAAAGTTATGATGCTGACTTTGTGTTAGCAATTAATTAAAACACAGTATTTTTTAAATAGCTAATCCACCCTTTATTTTGAATTTTGAACTAAAGAATTTAAGCCAAAGGACAGCTAAATACCATTAATATAATTATTTGTTAAATTTTACTAAAGTGATTATTTTTATGTCATTATCAATCTTACTTTCATGGAAATATAAAGAAAACAGAGAAGAAATCATACTGAATCTATTAAAAAAAGGAATGGATCCCCAAACTGTAATGTGTACTTCCATGGTTTTGGACTGCTAAGAGAATAGTGTGCCAGCACATTGATGAAACCTTTGACTTACGGACTTTGCTGTGTCTTCTGGACAAGGATCAGAAAAGAAGATGGAAAAAAAAATATTTTCCTAATGTATCAGTGATTTCTCAGCAGAGATATCCTCCGGGACTGATCAGACTAATCTTCCACTATTTTAACTTATTTCCAGTACAGAAATAATGCCTTCAGTGCTAAGGGGTCTGTAAAAGAGGCTACAGTGATGAACTATCCATTGGTTGGTAACCCAGTTCTACCTGCAGTAGGCACTACTGCCCACAGAGGTTACACTTGCTCCACAAATGATTAAATGTTTCTCAGACAGTATTGCAAAAAACTTATGATGTGCACTAGCAAAGATCTAGAGAATTCAGTCCTGAACATTTAGTTGGTGTAATCTCAGTTTGTGCTAAAGTTACACCTCACCAATGAGCACTCGAAAGAGCTATATAAATGTTATAAATCAAGTAACAACTTATGTAATGCAGAATTAGGATTAGTACATGTATTTTACAGTGAGGAAGATAAGAAACATGAATTAAAATTCTTTTTAGCCCCTGCCATGGTAAAAACCTCATTGGCTGAATGAGATTTGTTTGCAGTCGTAGAGCAAGCTACCAATTCATAGATCTTTGCACATTTTATCAAAAAAAAATTAAAAATATGACTCAATCTTGTGCTGTCACCCCCCCCAAATATTCCTGTAGTCCAAATTAATGCACTTTCCGATCTAAATTAATAAATGCTTATTAGCATGTAGTGATTTCTGCCCTCTATCTGCTTTGTGCAGATGTATTTCAATTAATTTGTCACAGAGAAAGAGCCCCCCGAATGTTAGGCACATTCATGATTACATATAAAAGTATATATATAATAAATATATATGTAAATAATTACAATCACAGCTACCTCACACAGTTTGCTTAGCTGGCAAACTGAGCAGGAATTGGACCAAATGACCTCCAAAAATGCCTTCCACCTTTAATTACTCTACAACTTGAAGTTTCAAATTTGGGTTTTGACCCTCTTAAGCCATCTCTTTTCCAAATAGGGAAACTGGATTTATGTAAAGCAGTCTTGCACACATCTTGCAATGGCATTAATGTCAGAAGTAGGAATATCTCAGGCGGTGAGATTTTGTACTCAGTGTCTGAAACATTAACTTTCAAAAAATTATACTGTAATCTGCAAATAGGTAAACATGTTTCTTTGCATACCTGTATTGCTAGATTTGAAAACTTCTAGCAGTCATAAAAATAAAAACAGATTTCAATATGCATTTGGGAATAATCTGGACTTTATCGAATTTGTTCTGGACAATGAAAGCACTTGCAAAATTTAAGCCATATTATCAGATAGACTGATCTGAAAGTCTCAAGGAGATGAAAAGGGCTTTGTCATTATGACTTTCATTATTATTAATGGCATGGCACAGCTAAAGCCCTGCTCATCTGGCTAGAGATGCACCTCTGATTGTTCTGACTGCAGTCTTACACAGACATTTAGACAACTGGATACCCGTGCTAACTTATGATTCTCTTGGAATTCAGATAAAAGCTGGAATTCAGTGGCCTTTTTCCCTAGTTACGTTGGCTGTTCTCCTCCTCTCTCTCACACTAATTTCATAAAGCATTTGCTGTTTTTTGAGATTTGGAATGCCAAAATGGCTTGAAATGGCAGATGAGCAAACAAATAGTTATTTCTTTCCTACAAATAATTACCAAGAGGAAATGGAAGTTTTACTGACTGTGGGCTGCTGTTCAATACAGTTGTATATACTTGAGACAAGTCCTAGACAAACATACTTTTTTGTCTTCTGATCTTGCACTGGCCGGTACACCAGACTCTGCTACCTAGCTGTTTGATTTTTGAAGCTTTCTCATCACATTGGTATTCATGAACGCATTGTCTTTGTGAAAGAATATATTTGATTAACTTTTTCTTTTCCATTCAGAAAAACTGTTCTTTTTGGAGAATGGATGTTTAATTGCTTAAAAAAAAAAAAAAAAAAAGTATGGCTTTTTATACATAAAGTTATGTTTTTTCGTTTCACTGAAAATATATAATCTAGTGCCTTCTGTTTGCAAAGACTTTATTTAGAAGGCTTTTCTCTCCTCCAGGAGGGAGAACCTTGCTTCAGTTATGTTCCTTTGAATTACAATTAGATCTTTGAACTCCAGACAGCTGAATAAACAAATTTCCCCCACCAATTTAATTATCCTGGCCTGTTTGTCAGTACCAGCAGAATACTATGTAGCACATTGCCAATTAAAACTCCGCATTTGATTGCCAGTAAAACACTACAGGTTCAGGCCTGTGTAGTCAGGAGGAGGAGGTTGGGCTGCCTATTCTTGATCTGGGAAGCTGAAGCTCCCAGATGCATATTGCTGGTGCAGGGTGGGTTAGGTGATGCCTGGAGGTGGCAGCCAGTGACACTCAGTACATGTAATAAAGGTGTAGATTAACCTAACTGCACTAGCAGCTCCCAAGCTCAATTCAGTGCAATGCAAGACTGGTGCTCTCGTGCATACTATGCATTCCTAGTTGCTACAGTCCTATGCACAGTCTAAGGCTGCTTCAAATTTCACTCTACCTTCAGCACCTCCTGGGAAGCAGGGTCTCACACAGAGAGGCATAGATGTGCTGGGGCTCTTTTCTATTAGGCTGTGCCCATGGGGAACAAAGAAGCTAAAGCCTCTTTTGTAGTTAAGTTGTATTTGTGCAGTTGGCTTACAGCTCCCAAACGCCCAACATGGGAAAGCCTTCAGGCCATCAACTCTGGGTAGGTATAAGCAGGATGCAGCAGGATAGCACTGTAGGGGAGGAGTGGGCGAGACAGCTGAGTGAAGATCTGTGTTAACAGAATGGCGCGCTCAGACTCCGGGACTAGTCATCCCTTCACTATTGCACCTGTGACCATGGTCAGCTGTGTCTACTTTCAATCTTGTGTGCCAAGCATGAGTTTCAGCTCCCATGAGAATTTACTTCTCTGTGCTCTTTCCCACAGATTCTAGCTGAAACAGGAAAATAATTAAATTTTCTGCTTTTGGCCCATTCTTATCCAAACCCCACCCACTAGCTTAAGACGTTTGTAGTATCATTAAGATCTTTCATATCCAGCAGTGTTCTAACTTTGTCACAGAAGCACGTTAGGAAAGAAGGGCACTGGCATATTATGCAAAAAGCTTACAGTTGCCTAGCACCATTAAGCTGATTACCACTGACATTCTGAAATTAAAATATCTGATGATGTCATATTCTAAAGTAGTTTCTATGTTCTCTAGAACTGGAGGCACAGATTTTAAGAAAACAAAACATCCATTAAAGCTAGTCTACACATTTCTGATTCCTAACTTGCCCTTTTTACTGTGCTAAGCAGGTTGAATTATACTAGATCTGCTGTCGTATTGCTCAGTAGCAGAAAACAAAACCAAAAACAGTAGACAGATTTTTTTATCCTCTCTGGGTTCTGGTTAGCAAAAATGAAAATGAAAACCATTTGCGAAAATTTGTGCTGAACTTCCAAATGCACAATAAGCTCAAGTTCATCGGAGTGGAGAAAAGCTGTGTGACAGTTTGAATGAACCTAATTGTTGGTCTTGTCAGTAATGTGTTGCATCAAATCATTCTCTCAGAGAGAAGTAATGCAACAACACTGAGTGATATTTTGGTGGAGAGTTGCATAAGCTGAGTGACAATTAGATTTGTTTCATAACAGGTCCCACCTGAGTCAGTGAGAGAAAAAATAGGCATGCCAAAGGTGATAAGCACTGATGTTCCTTCGAAGACAGAATATGATCTCAACTGTACTAAAAGAAAATGTTGCTAAAGTGAACTTTAACCTCAACTGTTATGTGACATCTTTACTATGAGTCTCCTTTTATAAAGCAGGCACTTATTCAATGTTTTGTACACTACTATTAAAACCCAATTTATGTGTATATTGTCTCTGAAAAGGTTGCCTACAAATTCATATTTTTCAAGTCTTTCTTCATTTTTATTTCTTTAACAGTTCCACCCAAAAGGGAGATGATGATTATGAAGATTACACTTCAAATAAGACTTGGGTTTTGACTCCCAAAGTCCATGAGAGTGATGTCACTCTTATTTTAAATGGCTTGCTGGAAGGGTATGACAACAAGTTGAGACCTGACATAGGAGGTATGTTAGTTTTCTTTTTAAACCACTTTTGATTGAGCAGTGAAGAGAAAGAATTTTCATACCATATTATGCTACACAGGAAGCAGAATGCATTCAAAATAGTTATGAAACAAAATATAATGTAGTAAAACATCAGTGGCACAAAAAGTAGTTATAATTTTGGAAGCTGACATAAATTAAGATTGCTAAATCTACCCTGAGACATCTAAGATGACTGTTGTGATTTGTTGAATCAGGCTGCTTGTAATGATGCATCTGCATAGAAAGTTGGAATTTAACGTTTGGAGAATGAAAAAGCAAGTTTTTATCTTCTTTGCCTAAGTGAGATTGTTAGACAATCACAAATAATACATTGGAAAGGAAGGCCAAAATAAAGGTAACGCAGCCTGATTTTTGCGTGTTGCAATGGACACAGACAGAGCCTCAGAGAGCAGCAGGTCTGCATTGACTGATGCAGCACAAGCCTTCACTTGCACGGCAGGGCAAGAAATGACTGCAGAATGGGGCACAGCAGAAGAGGTTCACAAAAGATAAGTGCAGTCAAGTAAGGCTAACCTCCCTAGATTTCCCCCACAGCCAATACAAATATATAGACCCAACATAGGACTCATAATGGAAGTCTTAAAAGTTGACTGAATCACCTTTTGCAGGAATCTTCCTCTCCACTGATTACTGAGGGAGCTCGCAGAGGTAAATCTCCCTGAGCTGCTGCAAGTCAGTTTGAGAAGGCCCCATGTGTGCACAGAACAGGCAGACAATACCTCTGTAGAAGAGGATACAGCAGTAATAAGATTATAGAAAAACGCAAAGAGAATTCATGGATGAGGCAGGTAGAGGAAAGCAGCAAGCAGCAAAATTTATGAAGGAAGCTGATTCTAACAAGTTTATAGAGGCTTATAAACTAAGGAATTTTTCACAGTGAGGGATAACATGAGTATTTAACTTTCAATGTATGTATATAGTGTAAATTAGCAGAGGAATTTGTCTTTCTCCCAATCCAAGACTTTAGAGAACAGAAAGCATTCATAAAAGCATCTAGAAAAAAACAATCATGTTTTAGTCAAGGTGTGTAAGAATAATAAAGCTGCAATAGAGTAATTTCAAAATAAATTAATCTAACAATTGTTTTTCATTCGTGCTTCCTTGAGTATTATTTTTGCTTTGGGCTCATGAAACTGTTACTTACCTACAGACATCTCTGCAGGCAACAGCAGTCATGTTGTATTTGGCATTATAATGTAAAACAGGTGATGCAAGACATCATAAGAAGAATAAGTTTGCTTTCATTGATAGTGTTTTGTCAGATGTGTTGCTGTGACCTGACACAAAATATACATACTCTCAGTCAGATATGACTCACTCTAAGGTAACGACACTGTGTTTAGTATTTGTTCTTACAGCGTAAGTGAATTTGTTATGATAGAATAAACCATATAAGAATTTGTCTTAAAGTGTCTCCAACTAATTTCAAACTGGAGACATCGCTGCAAATTTCTAGTTAATGTATAGACACATTTAAATGTGATGCAACCGTAGCCATACAAGAGAGGTATTGTAATAATCTTTTGCTTGTGTTTGACTTTCATGTAGTTGATTTTGACCTTCACTCATGTTACTGATTCTTTTTGTTTCTCTTACAGTTAAACCGACAGTAATTCACACTGACATGTATGTAAATAGCATTGGGCCTGTGAATGCTATCAACATGGTAGGTAAATGATTTCCAAATTTCCTACAATGTTCTCTTTGTTAAAAATCCTCCATCATTTTTGACATTATAAAGCTTCCATTAGTTTTAATGTTGTGCTATACCTATATTATTTTTAAAATCTCATTATTATTTCTATGGATGTGAGGACTATTTGAGCTATGAATCTCTACAAGACCGGAAAATGGAGCTCTGTGCTGAAAAAAAAGTAATAATAGTAGTTTTAACATAACCTTACACTCTTATGTGCTCTACTTTCAAGTGCTTTGTGACAGTTTAACTCCTGAAAAACTGAGCTTCCAGACTGCTACAAAAGAAGGAAAACCAATCACCAGTGATATTACCACACTTGCCAATGAGAGATAAAAAGAAAAAAGCCTAGATACTCTCTCCTCTCCTCTTCCCAAAGTTCCCACAGAAAAAAATTTAATTATATCTTTTGTCCAGGTGAGGGAAAGTGGTCTAGCCTTAGCACAACGTCTACTTCATTCTTTTAGTTGTCACGTGTAAAAGGCAATCTCAGATTGCTCTTGTCCATTCTATAATTCCCTTTGCAGCTTCTGGCTGCCCAGTAGTGCCAGGGAAAGTGAGACTTCGTCACTTCTGGTATTAACTGGGGGGCACAGGCAATTAAGGCAGCCAAGTCAGCTCAAATTTTTCCCATCCTAGATCCAAGGGAATAAGTAATTGTTCTCTGACCTTGTCAGGTGTGGGTTGAGGTGTGGGGACAGAGAATTAGAAAGGTGCATATATCACTCAATTGCATCTTAGTTTCACTTGTCAGTAGGAAAATAACAGAATAATTTTTTTTTAAACAATAATCTTTGGTAAACTATGCCCTCAAAAATTATCAAAAAAATTGTTTTTATCAGTTCTAGTATCATCTTCTGTAGTTCACATTTTTTTCATATGAAGTTAAGAAAAACATATCAGGAGTTATGTGAAATGCTGAGTACTATGTTTTCATCAGTATTTCTGGTTAACACAACAGGAATATACAATTGATATATTTTTCGCCCAAACGTGGTATGACAGACGTCTGAAGTTCAACAGCACTATAAAAGTGCTCAGATTAAACAGCAACATGGTTGGGAAGATCTGGATACCAGATACATTTTTCCGAAATTCCAAGAAAGCTGATGCTCATTGGATAACAACTCCTAATAGGATGCTCAGGATCTGGAATGACGGCAGAGTGTTGTACACGTTGAGGTATTTATACCTGATTTTAATTTCAGTTTCTCTAGGGAAAGCCAAAGAGAAAGATCCTGTGAATTCAGGTCATTTGACATTAACCTGAAGGAGAAAACACTCTTTTTTCCTATTTACTTATGCATACAACCCTGAAAAAGGCAAATATTTAGAAAATATTACTTGCATGCAATTATTTTATATTGGCACAGTAAAGAGTTATATTTCTTCCTACAGATTGTACTATCTTGCTCCACAATAGTCCCATTCCTATACTAAAATGAATATAAGCATTGTTATAGTAATTCATCTTAATTTTCAGGTATGTGTTATTATTTGCCACTAGCTTGGTCCATATTGCCTTTTACCTTTTTATTGGGTGAAACTGATGAATTTGAAATATCCTTGAATTAAGGTATAAAAGGAGGTATTATATACACCAAAGGCCTCTTATTATGAATTGATTACAATTTAGCTAGATGAAGCAAGCTAAATAAAGATTAATATTTCAGCGTTGGTCATTTAAGATTTAATCCAAAACCTACAGATATGCCCTGTTCCACCAAAATTTTCATAACTCTGAACTTGATATGCTCATCTCCAGATTTCTCAGTCATATGTATAACTTTTCTTTTGAGACAGATTACCTTTAAAAACTATCTTTTGAATAAATGTTATGCATGTCTACATTCAAGTGTAACACATGCAATATGTAACAGCTCATACATCATATTCCCAATGACCATAAGATACTTCCTAAATGCGAAGATCCTAAGGGCATTTTTTTTTACTTTTTCTTACATGTGATATGATATTTGGTTCTATGTAAAATGTAGATAAAGCCAACATTTGTTCAAGGGAATTTATAATTTAAAATGAGACTACAGAATCAAAGATGTTAGACAGACCATCTGAGGTTTAGACTGCATTTTTTTCAAAGTGTTTTTTCTGGTTTTGTTTTATTGGGTGCCAAAAATTAAGTTTTGAGGAAAAGTACTTTCGTTATTGTTAATGAATAGAACTGAAGCTTTAGTTAGGACAACCTTTTAATGTTGCAACGGTCTGAATTACAAAAAGGAGTTTTATTTCATAGTTATTTTACATTCATTACACATTGCATCGTGAGAACAGAAAAGAGAATGATTGGAATTGAAATCCAGTGCAAATCAAAGTCTGATAAAGAAGATCCTATATCCACCTTTGAAATGGTAAATTTGGTCTTAGCTACACTACTGCCTCTTTGGATTTCATTACCTTTCTCTTCAAACCCCTCAGTTTCTCTCATTAGAAAAAGATATATCTGACAGAACTTAGAGACAGTTATCTCTTATTAATATATACTTAGTTTTCTAGTGAACACCAGTAAGGATTCAGCCTGGATTAATCCAGAAGTGAAATGTGATGGTATCATCACAGATCTGGGATTCTGTCCTGAAAAGAAGAGGGCTCCAGAAGAGCTGGTTGATTTTCTCAATCACCTCCTCCCAAGCTCAAGAACTGTCCATCCGGACCAGCAGGAAATCAAGCAAAGTTAGCAGGCAGCCTGCATAGATCAACACAAAGCTCTTGATTCAAGTG